AAAAATCATTTTTCAAAATGTTATCAGCATATTCCAACCAAAATGTAAACTCAGATAACATCCCCCCTGCCCCCCCCCCCTCCATATTATGAACAAAACTTGCAAGTCTCTGGCCAAAAGAAAAAAAGAAACCTAAAAATTTTTGTCCCTAACTTTTCCAAGGCATTTATGATTGTTATTAAATACTGCAATATTATATGATTCCAGTTTCATTTTATCATATAAAGGAGGAAATTGAGAATTCAGAATCATAGGTCTTAGAGCATATTTTTCCAGAAGACACCTGTAAAATTACCAAAGGGCTGAACTGGCATCTGATTGTAGAGATTATTGATTACTTTAATCTAGAATTTCTATTTTTAGCTTAAACTGCAAAGAAAGATGCCCAATTCCTAGTAAGTAGAACTGCATGCACATTTCAGGTATCTACACACCTATCTTTTGTTTTTGAAAATTAGTTTAGAATATTGAAACTTGTCTTACACATTAATATTACACTGTAGTTAATATTTTACAGTGCCATTCAGAAGTCCTTATTGTCTGTCTCTGAGGATAGAGTATTGATTTATTTTGGCTTTTTTTTCACCTACTTTTAATATTGGGCTAGAAATCCTTAATCTCATTTAATTCTGAATGGCAACAATGTTCTCTGTTCCTAGTGGCTAGTTCTCTTCTGTTGAAAGGATAAAAACTCTAATGAAAACAATTAAATGGCAAAAGAACATTATTATAAAGAGAAACATGGGGATTGGAATATATCTGCTCTTTTACATGGTACTTAGTGAGTTAATGCCCCTTTTTATTAAAACAGTTTATAAATAATTGTATAATTCTAGAATATTTTTCTACAAATGGGCATACTTTCTTTGAAAAGGTATATTGTGTACCTGGTACTCTAATTAAAGTACTCTCAATGGTAGAGTTATAAACTTTGAATATTTTCATTTTGTGTTTACATATGTTAATTCAGATAGCAAATTTAATATATTATTAGCTACAAATTGAGATGTAAAAAATAGAAAATAGTCTATAAATATTTGAACTTTAAAATATAGTGCAGAATTAAGCAAGCTGTGAACATAGGTGAATTTAAAGGAATAACAATCTGAAATTCTTATAAAGCATTCATTTGTACATTGTATTTAAAATGAAGATAGTATTTCAGAATCCTTAATGTTACTTTCTGGTACATTATTTTAAAAACTGGCTGTCCTTGTGGACGTATTGTTCTCATGAAGATATAAATGAAGTTGCACTGAATTTTTCTTCATATCAAATACGTTTAATTTTTGTTAAGTAATTTATAGTTTTACAGAGAATGAAATCTTAAGCAAATGCCAATAGGGAGTATTTGAAATTTGTAATGTTATCTACTATGAAAAACATTCTTTGATCTGGTTAACTATTAACCAGTTGTATTTTAAAACAAAATTAATGATTATGTATCAGTAAAATGTATCAGATAAAATAGCAGAAAAAGGTAATTTAAAATTTTTAAGGTTATATCAATTTAAAAATTTTGGGGAAACAAAATTTAGAAAAATTTTTAAATAGCTTCCCATTACCTAGAAACATTTAGATCTACAATGCATTAATTAAGCTAAGTTAAGATTCTTTATGAATGTTGAATCCATATTTATAGCCACCATTTCATTTTATCAGATATGTTTTACTAGGACATTGCATAATGTATTAAGAAGGGAAGAGTGGCAGTCAGAAACATGATTTCATCAAAAAAGGAGAGAAAATCTTGTTTTCAGATCCAAATCTTTTTCTTGCTTATAATATCGAGGTTGAAATTCTGGGTAAAGCACATCTCTATTCATGGCTACATCTACTTTATCATAAAGCCAAGGTAAACTTATTTTATCATAAGGGGAGGACCAGGTAGAAACAACTAGAGGATGACAGATTGTGAGTAGAGGACCTGACACCATTATTTGCATATTCTTCAAGAGAGAAAATGTTCAAGAGGCAAATCCCAGAATTTGTAGAATAGTCTATCCTCTAATTGCCAGGCAGTTGTCATATTAGTTTTTTCTTCATTGTCACAAGTGTTTGGATACTAATGTATTTTCATTTTCTTGGGGGGTAGGAAGAATAAATGGAATTATAAATCAAATAAAGAAATGTCTAGGGTAGAACTTTTGTTTACTTTTTTCACAGTGTTATTCATTTTGCTTACTTAAAGTGTAGTGCTTGTTCTGTGATAAAGGGTGCCTAGCTTTTTGTTTTGTTCTTAAAAGAGTAACGTCTTTTGCTTTCACAAACCTGCACTAACTTAAGTAAATGAATGGTTATGAAACACCTATGATGTGTACCATTTTGTGGGGGTATGAGGTGATTAAGGCAAGTTCCTGTCCTCAAACTGTTTACAATCTAGCCCTCTGCCAATACAGCTTCTCAACATTTTCACTAAAGCTATTTTTAAAAACTGGCAAATCTACATTTCTAACATTTTAGAACAAGTGAAATGAAAACTCATACTTTTTTTTCTTGACATAGCAAATCTACATTTCTAACATTTTAGAACAAGTGAAATGAAAACTCATACTTTTTTTTCTTGCATCTTTTACTAGAACGACACTGCATCTTATATATTTTTCTAGCCTATTTTCTTTAATGTCGGTGGGAAAAAATTCCACTGCCTTTTCATTAAAATATTCAACAAAGTAAGTAACTTACTTTTTCCAGGCTTTGCAATTGGTCTATTTTGCTTTGTATTAGTAAATGTCATCTCAAAATTAGGTAGAAGATAATTTGCTACAGGGAGGACCCTTACACAGTTCTTTCAGAGGAAAGAATTCTTATGGCTTTCATGGAAGATCCACATGAAAAAGGGTTGATGGATTGAAGTCTTATTTATGGAATCTTTAGGTAAAGTCATTTTCAAAAATGAGATTTTCATTACATGCCCATTGCTGGGGTTTCATTTGGAAAATTTGTTTACTCTTCCCTGGGGATTCCATATGTTGGTTGATTTATAAATCATATTTACAATCCAATTAAATAGAGTAATTTAGCATGTTTGCTCCCACTATATTTATGGTGTACATTTGGTAGTCTCTACTCAGCCTAACTAGCTTTTCAGATTAATTACATGCCCTTCACTGAAAACATTAAACAGATTTAGGAAGTTTAAATCATGTACTCTCTTACTGGAAAGAATAAACAAACATCAATGCTACCTGTAGTTGTTTTCCTTTGCGGTGGAAAATTTTACTCTTTCAGTGATTGCTTCATAAATAATTAATTTACCCAGTAGAGATTTATATCTTTTACTAATGTTATGTTTCAAAATTAATAGTGAGAAAATTGATGTGTTTATTGAGTCACTGGAATGAACGAATAGTGAAGGTGGCAGGAGGCAGGTACATTTTAAAGCATGTTTGTTCTCTTGTCTTACTCCATTTTTCCAAAATTTCGAAATCTGACCTTAAATGTAAAAAAAAACTAAGACAAAACTGACCCCCTCCCCATCTAGGTCATAATTTAACCTGAAGGAAAGCTGAGCTATTTTTATACTGTTTAAAGTTAAAGAGATATACGTGTGTGTGTGTGTGTATTTTAAGCAAACACTTCAGTCTCCCCTTGCCTTTTTTCACAAGTTCAAGCCAACCATCTCCAATTTTTCTTCCTACTCCCTTTTTTCCTGCAATACAGAGGTGATTGCATCACTAAAATGACACTAAGTAAGTACTGTGGATTTTAGAGAACTTTGAAATATTTAATACTAATACTAATAATAACATAAAGCAAGTTTGGTACTTATGTATGAAAAATTGGACAAATATTTTTAAAAAGTAGTATTTTTTACACTTGATAAATGAAAAGTCATGGAATAAGTAAAGCACCTAAAGGTAATATGGGCCTAAATCCAACGTTCTGCCTCCCCTTAAATTCTTGGAGCATTTTTTAAGAGGAAAGGCCAATCCAGCGTGTTGTCTGAGGGCCGTATTCCAGGGCAACTTCTCTGGGCAAAACAAAGTGGGTCCATGTAAGGCGATTTGCAATATTGCAACAGAACAGCTGAAGAGTCCTAAATAAAGGGGGCACATCAAGGAGCAAGAGTTGCAAGGACAAGGGTGTAAGGAGGGGAAAAGGAAGATGACAAAGAAAGAATTTCAGAGAGAGCTGTAATTTTGGATGATAGCTAAAGTATAAAGAAAAAAGAATGAGTAGGAAAAATTTAGCTGTGATGAAAAATAGAACTCAACAACAGATATATTCTGGTAACTAGAACACAATTTCTGTCATGTATAATATTAAATCTTTTAACCTTAAGTACTTGTAAAATGTTGAGCAAAAGTTTTTATTATTTTAAAAGTACTTTTAATCCTAACATTTTTATTATTCTTGGTACACATTGGTATCAATAGTATAAAATATTATTTAATGCTAGGATGGAAGAGGCCAAATACAGATGTGAACACCTTTCCATAACTGAATTTGAATGATTCCTTTCCAAACTAATTTCTCACAGGTTATTGGGAAAATTCTAAATAAAAATTATCAGAGCTGTAATTTCTGTGCAATGCCAGGTTTTTTACTGCAATTTGATAGCTCTCTATCTTGATACTTATCTTCTGAGAGCCTTAAAATATGTCTTCTTTGAGATGTAATTAGCTGTTGTAGAAAAGGGAGAAAAAGATTTTTTTTTTTTTCCTGAAGTTAAGAAACAGATGAGAATCTAGCAAAGAGAATCAGGTTCTAGAAGAGGAAAGAATCTTTTACCAGATGTTATCTCAAAAGATGCTCTAGTTTGAGATTAAATTGCATCTATCATTTAACTGTTTGGGGAAAGCAGCGTGACATGCTTCAGAGGACACTGCATCAGGCAGGTGATACATTAACACACGGCCATTGACTTGCTGATTGGCCTAGGGTAAATGGCTAAACCCTTTCATCTACATCCCTGTGTATAAAAAGAGGATAAGATTTTGTTTATATTCAACAGTTATATCTAATAGTTTCTTGGTTAAAAAATACAGCACCAGTTTTTGAGATCTTTGAAATATATTTTAATTTCAATTGAACATTGTGTTGTATTCATGATACATTGTTTTGTAATTATGATAAACCCAACAGTTTATATTCAGCTACAACTCAATAATCCTCATTATTAAATAAAATATGCTGAATATTTCCTAGTGCCTGGGACATAGGACATACTCAAGAAACTTTAGTTTCCTTCCTCTGTCATTTTTCAAAGCATAGACATCGGCAAACAGAAGAACATGAGGTGTGTTTTTCAGACCAACAACATAAGGTTAACTCCTTTAATTTTTTCATTATTTAGTCAGAAATCCATGAGCCATGTTAAATCACACCCATGTGTATATTATGTTCCATGTATATATATTTACTCTACATTGAGAAAATAGTTTTTGAGACCCTGCCATTGCATTCTCATAGATGTGGAAGTGAAAATAATAATCAAAATTAGTAAACAATCTCTATATTGCAACTGAATTGAAAAAGTATCTAATTAACATATCTGATTTACTTAACTCTAAAGATTAAACATGTTTTCCTAATAAAATTATAGTATTTATATTATATTTTCACTAGGAAATATGTTGATATGTTAGTTCATTTATGTCATTATCAGAAAACAGGGTTTACTCCTTATTTCTAAATAGTCTAAAAATTGAGGAGAAAAAAATTAATCTACTTGAAGGATGCCAAACATTTGTGCCAGAATCAGGATTAGACATCAGGGTGTTTTGGGTGTTGTTAATAGTAACAATACCAACAGTAATTTATTGGATGCCAAGAGAGCACTGGCTTCTAGTCAGGCTTGCCTGCCCAGGCTGCTGCATTTTGTTTGCAAACAAGGATTTTACATTTAAATTAATTACAAGAGATTTATCCATGTGGTTTTTAAACGTTCACATCACAGGGCCCAAAAACTTTGTAAGCAAATTTTCCAATTTCAAAACCATGCATACACAGTTCTTTTATATTTGAATACACAGTTTCTTTTCTGATAAAATAGCTCTGGAAAAAATACCCCCAATCTTCACTCAAAAACCCTTATGAGACAAAGCACCTGGTTTTTCATGTCCTTTGTCCAACAGGCATTTTCAACATGATGTCTTAAAATATGGCCAATGTTTCATTTAACAAAGGTTGTGCTCATTTTGAGCTTCCAACATGACAGCCAATATTCTGTGCCCTTCTTTCCTGAAAATGAAAGCTACACCAATCAGGCCTGTCACAAATGCCTCAACAAAAGAGCCAAACAAAACCCAAGTACAGGCAACGTTGACAAAGGCAATGTGGATAGCTGAGCAGATTCTAAGAGTATTTAATCACCACTAATTCTTTCCTCCCCCTGCATCTCCTTCCTATACTTCTAAATAGCGAAAGCAAATATTGTGTATTTTCTGGTCGTAGCATTATTATAACTTCTGTGTAATGAATAATATCTTGCCTTTTGGTATTATGTTTGTTTAAGTAGCAAGACTGTGAATGCCTTTAGAATATAATGAAGGTCCAATCTAAAAAAAATCAGAAAGTAGACCCAGAATATTGTTAGTTTACACAGGACTAACATTCTGTTTCCTTCTAAGAACCTGTGAAATGTCGAATACTGTAATGTGATTATTTCTCACCTCTTCTCTTTTCCCACTCTCAGGCACCAAATGGTCTCCCAGCTGTGAGCAGTTTTGTGTCAGCCTCCAGCATGGCTCCCTACCCTACCCCAGCCCAAGTGTCACCTTACATGACCTACAGCGCTGCTCCTTCTGGTTATGTTGCAGGACATGGGTGGCAACATGCCGGTGGCACCCCACTGTCCCCCCACAACTGTGACATTCCCGCATCACTGGCGTTCAAGGGAATGCAGGCAGCCAGAGAAGGTAGTCATTCTGTCACCGCCTCTGCACTCTGATGGGAAATTCCATCTCCAGCAGCTTCACCTGGGTCTCCCCTTCTCAGCACATCCTCCCCCTCTTCCCAGTTCTCACCACCCACCCCTCCTACCCTTCAACCCTCCTGCCTCAAGAGCTGGCTTTACGGACTCACATCCTTTGTGCTGATGACACTTAAATATTTCTTGCCAATACTTCTCTCTCACGGAAACCTGATATAACTTTAGAACATAAAAACAAAAGCAACGTTAAGGATCGAATGAGACATTTGTGTTGCCCACACACTGTTTTAACGTAGTGAAGAAACCTACACCCCTCAAAGGGCTTAAGGAACTTTTGAAACTACTCTTTGGTAAAACCACACATGTATATTTATTCTAAATCAACCTGAACTTTTGAAACGTGCAATTGTTGAGATTTTGCAAAATCAATAAAGGAAAATACATACAGAAAAAAAGATATGTTATACCCTCTAATCAAATAAGGTAACCAAGTAAGCCTTAATTCATCATAAGGAAGCCAATCAATAATTGACTTTTTGACTGATCCTTTGTTTATTTTTAAGAGATGACCTATTGTGTTGAAAAGTATGTGTAGAACCCAAGCAATATCTGAATTTAGCTCCTCCTGGTGTTTTGACTTGGTTCCAAATACAATAATGTTTATATTTTCTATTAGCTTGTAAATATGGACTCTGGATGGTACATTTGTGTCTTCATTCCATAAAAGACTTCCCTCTCCCCCCCCACCCCCCATTTCTTTCTTTCTTTTTTGCAAAGGTGACTTTCTGACAATATCTTTGTCTCTTTTTGGTGGTGGGCTGCTTGGGCTCCTGGACCTGGACTTGCCCCCAAATTTTGTGTGTGCAGTGAAGGCTTCAACATCTCATGAAGGACACTTTCTTTCTACAGGAGAGGACTCAAAAAACACATAAAACAAGCCAGTCTCCCATTTTGCATCCTAATCAAACAACACACATGCCAAGCATATAAAGACAAGAGGGTGGAAAGTATCTGAACAAGAAGGCGCTAAAGGAAGTCACTTAGAAACTTAAGTTTAATGTGAAATGTTTTGCAAAGACACTTAAAATGAACTTTATGTTAAGAAAACCACTGTGAAACTAAATTGTACTGTTATTGTTGGCTTACCTGTGTGTTCAGCAATCTCAGCTCCAAATTATGTTGTAATTTAAAGAAAATGGAAAATTCTGCTCTAATGAATGTAACAATGGCTTGCTGTGAAGTTTACATTGTTGTACAGAAGCATGTTTCACATGTAGGTAAACTGGTGGTGGTATTAGAAATACAAATGCTATTTAATTTTAACAAATTCCCTTTATTCATTTCTGGAATTACAGGACACAGTTTAACTGATAAAACTTTCTAGACCAATTTATTTTTCACTTTAATGTTAATAATAGATCTGTGGGGTATACGTGAGTGTGAGCGTAAGATTTTGTGTTGTATTTTAAAACATTTTCTTGGGCAAAATTTACAGTTTTTATCTCTTCTGTTCAGGAAGTTCTTCCTGCTTGGCAATATAGGCTAAAAATATGGTTTTTAGAACATCGGTACAATTCACCTGTTGGAAAATTAATATATTGTGGGGTTTTTTTTGGTATTAATTCTGTGCAATAACTAAAAGGGCTCCTCACTAAATATGAATGTTAAAGATACATTCATTAGGTGAATTTGATTTCTTCCTATCTGTGCTGTGCACAGCCCACATGGCAATCCAGTTCCGCCACATCAGTTTCATGGCTTCATTTAAAACTCAGATGGCTACATTAATTAGGTTTTCAGATCACTAGGATATAAACAATAAGCAGATTTCTGACACACAAGCTATGCTCAAGTAATTTCTTCTTTCAAGCAGCAGATATCTTATAGAGAGCTTTGAACTGCATTTATTTCTAAAGCAACTGAAATTCAGTGCTACAAACAGAGGATTATAACTTCAGGAGAAGAATAAGCAGAAGAAGCAGATGAACTCTCAGGGCCATAGTCTTCCTTTGATCTTGTAAAACTCCCCTTGACATCTGGAGTTCCCAGTCTGGTGAGAAAATAGACTATAAACCGAATGGAACGAAGATCCAGTCCAATATTTTGGTGGAGACTTTAAAACCGTACCATACAGGGACTCTCCTGCCGTCCAGAAAAACTGACATAAGGTACAGAATTATTCTTTATCAATTGTTCTTAGGTGGCTATTAGGGGTCTTTAAAAAATATCCATTGTTTGTATGGAAATTCAACTAAATGTTATTTTCTTTATCTAAATTAAGAAACCTCTTGTTATTATGCTATTTATAATTTTTTTTTCTGGTTCTTACGTTTTTAAAAATTTAATATTAATGGTATCAAAGTGTTTTTTCTTTTCTTTTTCCCCCCTAGGTCTTTTCTTAGCAACAGTGAATTCACCTGGAGAAATTTTAAAAAGACAACAGAAAGCCCCAAAATAATTTGCTATTCAAAGTAAATTATGATTTAAAGCCACTTTAAAAATACATAAAGGAAAATGGGATGGGATACGGTGTTGGGACTGTTTGATTTTTAAACATTATTGTTATTGGTTAATGTTAACATATTTCCTCTGTTTCTTAGAGGGGAAAAGTGTTGTTTTTAAACTGGCAGATACAGTCTTTAGAAATTGTTTTCCATCTCATTCACATGGAGAGGTTAAAGGTGCAATTTCATGGCCTCTGTGCAGTCAGTACTCTCTGTCACAGGATGCAAGAGTATTACCTGCAAGGATAGAATGCAGTTGTGTAACAGAGACACATTCTTATTTCTCTTGGATTTTCTCTTTTTAATGATCCTCTTATTGAATATTGGGCTGAAATATAAATTAAAAGAACTCGTTGGAAAGGATGTACGACAGAAGGCTATGTATGTATATACAGTATGTCAAAAAGCCTTTTATTTTTATACTTCAAATGCTCTAAATTAATAAAAAGTAATAATTACCATGTTATCTTTCACTTTTTATTTTCCAAACGCTTCATTGAAATAGCACCATAGTAGAAGTAACCCATAGTAGTAGTTAAGAACAGGTGTCATCTACAACGTGCAGACATTTTTGTTAACTTTAGCTACTGAAGTCGCATCATTTCGGGATGCAGATATAAAATCAAGTTTGGTTATATCAAAACCAAGGGTATATTTTTTGGAGTGCATGTTAATACAGGAATCCTTGGAAATGCTAAGAATGTATTTCCAGTTTGAAACAGTTTTTCCTTCATCATCAGACTTCACACCTGAAGCTGTCACTTAAAACTAGTAACTAGGAAATGTGGTTTTACTCTACACATTCTTAAGAATGGCATAGATAGGAGAGCTTATTTGGATGCAAACACAAACAGCACAAATGGGCCCTGGGTGTGCTTCCAATCTGTGACTTAACATAAAAATATTTCAGCAACAAAACGTCTTTAAAGAGAACTATGTGAAGTAAAGTAGTTTAATATAATTTCATGATTTCTATTTGTAATAAAATACTTTGAATAGCATGACTTAAAAATACCTGCTTTAAACAACAGTGTGAAATATAAAGTAGATTTAGGAAAATGTAGCTGAGATGTGTATTGTTAGTAAAGAAACCCAACAGATTTACATTTTAACAAAGTACTCACAAAATTAAACATTCTTAAAAGGCCATTTCAGATTTTCCTTCTGACTTTAAATATTATTTATGGAAGAATTTAATTCCTTACAAAAACTGTCTAAATTTCGGCTTAACATATTTTTTTCAACCCAGTCTTTCTTTGCATAATTCTTAAAGACCTGGTCACAGAATAATTTATTTTCAAGAATTTACTTTGAGTGTTTCTAGACCACTTAGAAAAAATAATTATCAATACCAAGAGTTTTTATTGTGAAGAAATGTGAGAGGAACATAGGTGACAAAGTTTATATTGCTTTTATGAAATATATCTGATTTCTATGCTATATTTATATTCAATTTACATACTTTATTGCTTCATATTATTTTTCTTTTCATGTTTTATATATATGACCAAAACTACCATGTCAAGTTGCCTAAAGATAATTTCTAAAGTATCAAAATAGGCTTTGTTCTTGTTTTCCCCTTCATCATTGAATGTATGCCTAGCATAGCTGATCAATAGTTTCTCCTCTTCTTGATGCTGAATAGTAAATATCCATTATCTGGAGGGGAAACACGTTCTCAACTATCACCAGTTCTCCTGAAGCCATGAATAGGTGTATTCATAAACCAGCAGCATCACTGCACCACCTAGAAAAGAAAAGAGCCAATTTTTATCACAAATTCTGTTAAAAAGCATGCTTTCCCACTGGGTTTCTGAATCCATAAAGTCCCATGCAGCCCATTAGGCAGGGGCTGTTCAGAATCATCAGTTCTAAAGCTCCAATACAAAGATGTAAAACTATTGTGGAAAATTCTCAGGGTAAAATCAAGACCATCTTGAGTCTCCAAATACATTTTTTCCCTATGAGTTTCTGCAAGTTTCATTTATCATCAGATTCTTTTTCAGGCACTTTTAATTTTTAAAAGTAAATACATATTGACACATTTAGTCATGTAAAAGCATGTGGCTTTCCTGCGAACAGAAACCTTCAAATTCTTCACATGTAGGCAAAGGGTTTATCTTTTTCAGTCTATAATTAGCATTGTCTTAGTTGTATTCAAGAAGAAATCTCTAAGACGGTGCTTGACAGATGAGTCTGGCTTTCAAAGTGGATTGCAATGTGAAAAATAGCTTCTGAATATTTTTAAAATCTGTATTGCAAAACTTAACAAAAGGAGGTTGAAGGCCAACCCTCATTCCTTTTATCTGCTTCTGATGTGGAATTCAAATTGAAAATTTGGTAGTGGAGTTGAGTGACAAGAGACCACCATTTGTCTTGGAAGAGAAGACTTACATAAGTGGCTGCAAAAAGGCTTGCTATGTAATATGTCAATAGAAATATGATACGGGAAAACAGGGAGAGGCTGCTGAATACCTAGACAACTATTTGTTTGTGGATCATTTTGTGTTCTATTTGATGCAGTAAATAGCACACGTCCCTTACTCTTTAGGATAATCTCTATTTCCTTTCACGTCTAAATGTGTAAAAAATATTACAAAATCTATTTGTTTGTGGATCATTTTGTGTTCTATTTGATGCAGTAAATAGCACACGTCCGTTACTCTTTAGGATAATCTCTATTTCCTTTCACGTCTAAATGTGTAAAAAATATTACAAAATCAATATGTGGATACATATCTTGAGCACAAGCTAGAGAAGTCTTGGCTGCACGTCTAGAAGATTGTCTTGTGACAGAAAGAAATACAACTTGATCTGGATCTTAGTTATTTTATACACAGTGCCATATGCTTTTTTTTTTTTTAATCTACAGTCTGCACATGTTTGTGTAATCATATACCAAAGATAATTATGTGCCTGTAATTTTCATTTTTAACCCATGAAGATACTCTATTAGGCCCCTCTCAGCTGCTGTAGCCCTCTTGGAATGCTGGCAAACAAAAAGACACAAAATACAGAGGCCTGTTAGTATGTATATAATTGCTGCATTTACTCTTATTAACTGTTCACAATGTAAGACAGGAATATAGAGAATTGAGTTAGTTTTCAGCCTAGTGATATTTGGAGTTTAAGCCACAGACTCCAAGATTCTTTTGTGGGAGGTACCTTTAGCCACATAGAGCTGCTGAGGCTATTAGGAAAATAAAATAGAATGCTTCTTCAGAATGAAGGATAAAAATCCCACGTTCACCTTTCTTTTCTTTTTTACTATCTCTCTCTCCCTCTTTTTAATCTTTAACTCAAAAGTCTTACCTTTCTACCTTTATTTCCTCTGAAGTTGCTGGGACTTGCGTATTTGGAATGAAGTGGAGGCCAAGTCCTTGAGTGAGGTTTCCAGTTATTCACAGTTTTGTTTAGCCTGGACAGTAAGTTCACAACAACCCTTTTTATTGGGTTCAATACCACAGCAACTCAGGACCCCTCATGCAAAAACATTTAAGGAGGCAACCAAACATTTGCAAGGCTCTAACAAAACTTGGGGCTGGATTATTTAAGAGTTTTGATTTAAGGTCCCAGTTAATTACCATTTTAGATAAACTCTTCTGTCATCACCCTTTTTAGGCCCATCCCCTTCTGAGAAAGCTGGTTTAGGGTCAGTCCTGCGATTTTCTCTAATATTAGGTATACTAGCAGGTTTTTATTGTGTGGTAAAGGAAAAATGCTACATACTTGCAGAGATGCACAAATTGCCAGTATTGTTATTGGGTTAGTTTTTATGCATGGGCCAATGACTAACAGAAGGCAGGTCTGAATCTCAAATATGAAGCAAAATTCATGCTAAATGCCTAGAAAGGTTGGGATAGATGAATTCGCGATTGTGGAAGTGTTTTCTAAATACATGAAAGTGGAAAGTGTCCACCAGATTCAATGTATGGACTGTTGTTCTCTATCTTAGGTTGATAGAAATGCTGGGTCACTGGGCTGAGACCTAAAGGTAAATGTGCACGTGTGTCACTGCCATATGAGAGGAGGACATTGATGTTAAAAGGGAGGAATGGCAAAAGGGGAGAGGAGAGGAGTAGGAGAAGGTTACAGGAAGATTAAGTAGGGAAGATTACAGGATGTCTGAGTAGGTGAGTGTGGCCTGGTAAAAAGAAAATGTGTGGTCTAGAGCATACTTTTGTACTTATTCACAAGGTTGCTTATAATTCAAGACTATTTGCCCAGGCAGTTGAGTCTGCAGCAGTTATTTTCTTATCTATTTACACAGAGGCAGCTGACGCTCCCTGTGGGAATGGCAGCCGTTTTTTTGTGGGCCGGTGTCCTGAAGTAAGGCCCTGAGCCAGGAGCCTCTGCTGTCATGCTGACGGAGGCCAGGAAAGGTGAGCACCCAGCCGCAGTGTCACCACTCCCCAGAGGTGACTGTGAAGATGAGCGGCCCTTGCTGTTCGTGAAGACAAGTTGTCCTCCTTTTCTCTTTGAAATAAAGTTAAGGCAGGAGCAAGAGTGAACTAGGACCATGAGGAAGAGTTTTACTGGGCTGTTTCCTCAGTGAAAATACTCCACTTCAGCCAGAAGTCACTGTACATACTTCAGTGCTCACTCGAACTCCAACTGGCTGTGGATTCTTTCCTATTGACTTAAGCTGGGCTTTGGCTTCTATCAGCCTCCAGCAAAGTCATAAATAGTACTTTATAAACAAAGGTAGAACGTTTCTAATGGATGCCTCAGTATCTCACATACTCATAGAAAACTTTATATCCTCAAGATTTCCGTCTTTCATAGTGTGGTAAACTTTTATTGTGTTGCTGATAGACACAAATAACAACAACAAAAAGAAACACAAGAACAATAAAGAAAGAAGGACACAAATAATAAAAACATCATTACCTGGTCCAAGCCTCATAACCTTGGGAAGCAGGCCTTTGTACAAAGCTAAAATCCTATAACCGGAAAGGAAAGAGCAACATTCTTATTCTGAAAATGACTGGAGTTGTACTTAGGCTTTATTGAGATACTGGGCCAGCATTCACAAAAAAATTATTTGAAATTACATACATCCCAAACCAGACAGTATCTGGCTTAGTATTCTCTGCAGCAAATTGGATGAGGGGAAAGAGTTAATCAATTCTTTATTACTCAAGCTATGTTGGTCTTGTCCAATCAGAAACATGACTTTCATCAGCGAGATGGTTTTTGCTTTCAAGACAGGTCTTACTTTCAAGACAGCTGTGTGCATATGGGCAAAATGACTTTTGTAATTGAATTTAAAAGACCACAAACTCAGACTTCACATTAGGAAATATAATGCAGTTTAGGACAAAATAATAAAATATTACTTGTTTACTTGAGAATAAGATGAGGGGGGGAGGTAAGAGAAAGTGAGAACAAAAAAAACAAAAAACAAAAAAAAAAAACCCGCCAGAAAAAGGCACATACTTTAAATTTTCCAAAAACAAAAAAAAAACCGCCAGAAAAAGGCACATACTTTAAATTTTTAAAATAAAACTACTTTTACAGAGCTCTCATACAAAAAAAACAAAAAACAAAAAAAAAAAACCCGCCAGAAAAAGGCACATACTTTAAATTTTTAAAATAAAACTACTTTTACAGAGCTCTCATATTTTATTCTCCCAGGAGAATATACTTCAGTGACATTTTGATTATGTTTACAGTCGAAAGGCAAATACTCTCCTGCCCATATATTAGTAGGGAATTTAATACACAATAGCATACTATGCAAACGAACTAGTAAAAAGTTCACCTCAGCACTCTAAGGCAAACATGCAGTATTGTATGATTGCACCTCACGGCACTATCTTGATAGTGTTAGAACATTTTGCCAACATCTCATTATTGTGTTATCTTGCAAAGTTCGTCATATGTATTCTACAGATGGTCTTAGACACACACCTGATGTGGGAGGGCTTACTCGTTCTCATCAAAATAGAGGTACAATATGGTTTTAACAATACTTGAGCCTTGAACATTTATTAAAATAAGAATTTGTTACCCTTCTTCCTGATAGACTGTTGCCATTGTTTTAAAACAGGTTCTGTACTTGATCTCTCCAGGAACTGGCTGAGGCCCTTGAATCCTACTTTTGGCAACATCAAAAGGGATGTTAATGACTGAGGCTATTGTCCCCGACAGAAGACCAATCCCAAATTTTCTCAAAAACTCCAAGGCTGGATCCTAAAATAAAAGAAGAATAAAATATCAGAAGAGAAGCGGAAGCCCCCGAGTGGGTTAAACACTATAAAGCAATATGTATTTAAGCAGAGCATTGCACTCCCCGGCACCCTCCTGTTATTTCAGCGGAACACATTAGGATTTCCTAGGCTGGAACTTGTTTTCTTGACAATCCCATTGGCTATGTTTTTACACATGGTCTAAATTGCTGAAGTACACATTTCCTCACACAGGATTTATAAACACAGTTCATAAAGAAAGACTGGTATGGCATATGGGGATGATTTGTATAATTGGGCTTCACAATGTACTTAGTATTACTGTATCAAAACAGGAGAAATCCAAGCACACTATTAGCTAATTGGCCAGAATATTTTACAAATGACAGCAACTTCCACCATGAAGCCTACTAAAATGCTCATTTGTGTGTGGACCCCCAAATGTTAAATTAAATCAAGGCTACTCTCGGTCTGCTGCTATTCCCCTCCAGGTTTTTTGCATTTATTTTCACGTGTAGCTGATCCACTGTACTGAGAAGTGCTAGCTTCCTGTTATTAACAAACCAACTTGGGGTGGCTGCAAAACAGCCTGTGACATTCTGTGCATTATAAACAGTAGTAAGTCACTGGACTAATTGGCTGAAGAATTTACAACCCATTGTTCCTGAATCTTATTCTTCCTTTATGGCAAAGGAAGAAAAAGAGAGCAACTGTGAGAGTGAGAGAAAGAAAAAGAAAGAAATATTTCTTCTTTCCATTCGAATTTAGGCCCTTCACATTGGTCTGATTTGATTTTCCACCCCTCCCTGCCCTGCTTTCTGACATCAAAGTATTTAATTAGGTCTTATGTGGGAGTCACTTTCCTTCAGCCTATTTTTGTGCCCAGTGAGCTCACATTATGCTTTGTTATAATGAATTTGCTGGGAAGTTCTCATTATGTTTTCAGCCTCAGTTCTTGCCCTGAAGAGAGGTCATATCCCATACCGTAAGCTGCTGATGGAGACCCCCACTGCCACCGCATCCTTCCTCTGCCCTCTCTTTTGGTCAGTATTTCAGGGGAGTCATCACAGAGGAACAAAACAGGGTTGTACTATGACACTATTTTATCTAGCAGGAGAACTGAGGGGGGAAGCATACCCTGCTTAAGTAAAAATAAATAAATAAATAAAAATAAAGTAAAAAAAAATCAGGTCTGAGCACAGCATGCTTCTAGTTCCTATGCAAGAAGAAAACTTCTAAAACTTCTGAAATTTTCAACTGAACCAACCAGCCAGTTACCATCACAGAAACTCCTATGTGGTTAAATATAAAAAGCAAGGGGTTTGGTAATAATTCTTGGATCTGGGCCATACAGGTGCCGGGGAGGTTTAAAGGGATTTAAAAATCAACAGGGTGTTTCAACAGGAAAAACAATGCAGTGATTGCAGTATGAGTGAGGTGTGTTTAAATAATTCCGTCTCCCTGAGTTTTTTCTCTTTTACAAGGAGAGAAAAATGCCTTTATGTTACTCTTCTCCATTATGGCACAGAGGCAGAACTGGAGCTCGGAACAACGGCAACTGCAGGGCCAGCTCTGGGTGTCTAACCTTGGATGAGTCAGTGGATCACGACTAAGAAGGGGGTTTTTTGACACCTACCTTACCTCTGCACTGTATCATTTCTCTGAGATATAAAAGTGATAATAGGAATAAAAGTGCTATGAATGTTGTACAAGCCTGACAGAAAGTGTATAGTATTATAATGTAGCCTGTTTTCCAAACACTCAAAGTATCCCATAAAAAGATGCTCTCATGGTGTTCCTATGACACAGCCAAGCTCTCTTTCTTTTCCAATTAAGGAGAAGAGTGAACGTGATGATTTGTATACACATTGTCCGATTGGGAAATTCTGGGGACCTCATAAAGCATTTAGCCTCTCCCATCTCCTAATGTGTTTGCTGAGATCAGAGTTGGGAATGGACAGTGAACCAAAACACTCAGTGAAGGCCACTGTGCTTGAAACACTGTGTTGGAGGCCAAAACTGAAGGTCTCCAAGCTGTTATCATGTTCACTAGCACGAATAAGTGTCAAACCTGCTTTTATACAGTTCCCAGACCCAGCCATGCATTAGATCACCTGGCAACTACAAAACAGATGCCTGGGCCCTACCTCGGACCCATGTCAGGGTCCCAGATCAGAATCTCTTGGAAAGGAGGCTAAAAACTGTTTTAAAAGCTCTCCAGGCCTCCTGAAACTGTCAGGCTGAGGACCCATGTCTAGGAATCTGTGATCTTGATGTTCCATGCAGGCAAAGCAGATGGTCAGTTGCTACCTCTGTGGGCATTCTGGGGAGGAAAAGTTTTCACTTGGGATGGCCAATAGGGCATCCCTTACCACCCGACATCTGGGCCCATGTAAATCTTTTCCCCTGACCTCACAATCTGCTTTATGCCAGTGTCCCATTTTCACTTGGGATGGCCAATAGGGCATCCCTTACCACCTGACATCTGGGCCCATGTAAATCTTTTCCCCTGACCTCACAATCTGCTTTATGCCAGTGTCCCAAATTGGGACTCATTGTGCCAAGAAGAGCCCTCCCGGTGGCCTCTGCTTTCTTCACTACATGTCGCCAACCATCCTCAAATGAATGCAGCCTCTCAGATGCCTCTCACATTCATCCCTCCTGCCCTCTCCCACCTCTCTGGCTTTAGTTCAAATTCCCATTACCTTCAGGTCTTGCTTCCTTCCTGCCCTCTGTGGTCTATTCACCACAGCAGCACCAGGCTCTTTTTATAAAACAAATCTGCTTCTGGTATCTCCCCACTAAATGACCCTCAATACTTTCTGCTGCATGGAGAGTAAATACAAAGCACCTCACTTGGCCTTTGGTTTCTTTCCCACAATATGCTTCCAACTTATGTTTCTAGCTTCAAGTCCTACATCCCTATCCCCAGTCCATACTATAGTCACACTGGTTAATTCATAATTACTCAAAATATACCAAGCACTTTCCCAACGCCATGCCTTTTTTCAAATTACACCCACAGCTGAGAATGTCTTTCATCATATTCACCTACGGAAATCTCACTCCTCCCTTAAGGTCCAGCTTCAATCTCACGTCACCCAAGAAAATTTTATGGATTCCCCCTTCAAAACTGATTTCTCTTCTTCTCTTCTCCTGAGATAGTGTGAACCACAATCATCACCCTTGCTATGGCCCCCTTTTTGTTTGGTTTATTTTTGCATGGATCTATCTTCACTGTGGGACTGTGAGCCTGGACAGCATGGGAGCATGTGTTACTCTTCCTTCTGTTGTCTATTTTGCAGCATACACAGTAGGTACTAAATAAATGTTTGCTGATTGGCCTATCAATGTATGTAATGTACTTATTTATTTTTGTAGAAACAGTGAGAAGCAGGTTTAATCCTTATTATTGCTTCCTTAAGACTTGGTGTCTTCTAGCCTGGAAATAAACCCTTATTAGAACTTTACATTTCTGTCTTTCTAACAGGAGGCATTAACACCGGGCATTTAGAAGGTGAGTATTTCAGGGTGGCTAAATTGAGACTCTCAGGTTACAGAGCCAGACCTGGGCTCCCAAGACCCTATTGCTCAGTGACTTGATGAGAATGGCATGATATGGTAGTCTATGACCAGATTTTAGTAAAAAAATGAACTCTGCAGAGTAGGTCTTCAAATACTCCTCTCTGGGCTCTTTGTTCTTTCATTTCCCAATCTCTTCCCTAGTAGGCAGAGGCATCCACTTGCTTCAGAGAGAAGGAAGATTGTCGTAGCAGGACTACAAAGACAGAGATAAGGTAATATTCAGTGTTTTTGGTTTCAAACTAGGATCTTGAGCATCAAAATGGAAGTCCTGGAGGAGAGGCATAATCTTAGAGAATATAGGAGGCAGGGGCAAAATGTGTAGAGTCCGCATGCAGAGAAGGTGCTAGGAGGCCCACTAGTGGCTGTGGTCAGAGAGACACCGCACAGAAGACACATGACATGCTCCCTGGCATTCCGATGAGGGAGAAGCACTTCCCTTGGAAGCTGCTCTCATGCCAAGGAGCAGGCAGAGAGGGAGAGTCTTCCATAGAGGCTGCCTAATCAGGCCAATGAAAGATGCAGAGACTGACCCACTAGTGCCAACACTGCTGAGCCCATCTCACCTGCCCCAATGATCAACCTTCTTGTCAGCCGCCCTGGACCCTAGTAAGCCTGGGGGGCAGCAAAGATGTTGTGGAAGAGAAAGCTCCAATCCCAGTCCTTGGGTAGGGTCATTATTTGTTACTTAATTAGAAACTTTCCTTTGAGGCTCTCAAAGCAGTGGACATCTGTTGGGAAAATAGAATAGTTTGGTCAGGGCCCTCGCCTCGGGTCCATTTCAGTGTGGTTTTAGCACATCCTTTGTAAACAAATTGTGTGTGTGTGTGTGTGTGTGTGTGTGTGTGCACGTGTGTGTGAGCAGTTAGTGTGCATGTGTGCCAATGTATCTTTAGTTTTGTTGCTATTCTTGTGTTCTGAGAGAGAGAGAGAGAGAGAGAGAGAGAAAGAAAGACAGAGAGAGAGAGAGAGAGACAGAGAGACAGAGAGGAGCTTTAGTGAAGCAGGTGTGCGGGCATCTGCCTTGGGCATCCGCCCTGCATGGCCATGCTTTCCAACCTATGGCTCCAAGGACCTTTTGGCCAGTTACCTCGCTCATAGACC